CTTGCTGGAGCATTTAAAAACAAGATCTGTTTATTAGAGTATTCTAAATGCATTTGACTGTCTTAATAATGAAATGAAATACCTAGCTAGGTGTGGGGGTGCACACCTTTAATGCCAGCATTCCGGATGCACAGACAGGCAAGGATCTCTGTGAGTTAGAGGCCAGCCTGGTCTACAGAGCGAGTTCCAGGACAGCCAGAGCTATACAGAGCAAACTGCCTTAAACAAAACAAAACAACCCAAATGAACCAACCAACAAAACAAAAGCCTATAAAATTATTTTTATTAATTAAGAAGCTAAAATAAGACAAAAACTATCACCAGTAAGCACATAGTTTTAACAAGGAAGAAATTAGGGCACATAAAATAAGTCACCCTTCTACAAAAACAAAAAAAAGGTTTATTTTGAATTGCCTACACAGTTTCTTATATCACATGACTGATTTCTTTTATAGTATTGAAAACTTTGAAGTGTAGGTATTACATATTGAGTACATTTTTACTCCTTTCAAGTGCCACAGATTATGTGTCAAAGCCTACGTTAGAAACATGTAACACTCCAGGCCTTGAACAGCTGGAGACAAAGATATTTGTATATCTTTCCACAGGAGAAACCAGAACAGTAATTTTTAATTTATTGTTTCAATATGTACTTTAGTTTCTTGATTATAAAACAACTGAACTTTCAGGTCTCACTCACAAGGGCTTATTGATCGATATATGTAATGGCCTGTATGTAGAAACAAATATGAACACATTACATTAAAAGCCAACTTTAGTCCAGTCAATGGCTAGTCAGAGGTGTTACTTGAATGCATGAAGAAAGATTATTCAAGGTATTAAGAGGTATATGTGGACACAGGGTGTGTTTTCAGTATTCTAAAACAATGCTTTGCCAGTACTGAGTGGCCAGTGGTTCTTAGAAACAGTGGTGTTTGTTCTGATTTAAAATATGGTTGGTGTGTTTTCCCTCAGTTTGAAATGTACATGAGTAGGGAGGCTTCATTCATTGTGTGTATGTTCTATACCACACTGAGCACACAACTGTATAAAGTTAAGTCAGAGGACAAAACCCATGACAATGTCAGCATGGGGAAACTTTGAAAATGGACACACATTTCTAACATGGCAAATATGATGACATACCCCTCAGACTTCCCAACACCCTTTGATTCTTGTTGAGTTCTTTTTCACAAGATAGAAAGCCATAACACACACACACACACACACACACACACACACACACACACACACCTCAAACACAAACCTTGACTATTTCCAGTGGAAATTTGTATTGAGGGCTCTTGTAGGACAGTGCCTTCTCAATGGAAATCAGATACTGTCTTTGCTGCCCTAGGCTCTATCAACCAAGAGTCATTCAGAAAATAAAAAAGTCAACAGTGTGTCTATTATAAAAATTTAGCAGGGAAGGCAAGAGTGTTTCATCTGCTGGAATAATAAAATTTAGAAGACCATGCACTTTCAGCTGCAGCTCATTAGGAAGACTTCAGCAACACATTTAAAAAATATTATACAAGTACTCTCCTTGGCTGATCATCTTCCATTTTCAGGGAGGGGATCTAGGCGACTATGGAAATGTTTCACATTATTGTTTTCAGATAGCATTGATTTAAATGTTCTTAATATATATATATATATGCACATAAATCTGTTCTAGAGCTGGGGAAGTATAAAGGCTCTAAATGTTATGAAATGCCATATGCCGAGAATCATCCAGGGCAAACTAGAAAAGCAATGTTACCTAGAATACCTAGATGATATGCAAAAGAAAGGGATGAGTTACAGGGCTCTGGATGGACTGTTAACAGCTCCTCAGATATTTAATCAATGCCTACAGAAAAGAAGATGATGAAGAGAAAAGAAGCATGGCTTCCAGGGTGACAGGCGCATGTTCTGAAAGGAAGATAAGTGATTCATTAGTTGGACGCCAACTTTCCAAGAAATTTAACACTGTCTACTTGACAAGCTAATTGGGATACCATTGTAAATACGTCACTAAACATGTTTTATTACATGTCATGGTTTGAGAATGTCTATAAAGGATCCTGTGTTGACGCTTGATCTGTAATTGGATGCGCTGTTTGGGGGTAATGGGAACTTAGGGAATCAGCCCTAGTTGGAGACAGTGGGTCCTGAGGGCATTCTTCCAAGGCTCTAGCCTCTCCTTCTGTTTTCTGTTAGTCAAAATGTAAGACACTCCTCTGCTCCATAAGTTGCTCCCTTGGATATTTTGGTCACAGTGACAAAAACAAAAACAAAAAAACAAAAACGTAACTAATACACTGTAGTCCATTGATTCTGTTTTATAACAAAGGGAATGGGGGAATGACACTCAAAATACCTTTTCAAGCCAACTTTCCTATGGTGAATTATAAAACACTGGAACAAAATTAAAATTGAGCTCAACTGAAAAACATTTCATAGTAAACTATTGTTTAGAGTTCAGTGTCAGTATAATTGATTTTTTTAGGCTTAAGTAAGACAAGTACTTTACTTGTGAAGATGCTGTTCAAGACATTTTGGTGGGGTGGTAATTTGGAAGTATTTCTTTTAAACACCCTAAAGATAATTAAAAGTTGCTATAGGGTAGTTTTCTTTAGCAAGCCTAAAGACAAAAGAAAAACGTTAGGATCATGGGTGAAATGAATGTTGACTAATCCAAGTGGTCTATAAACATTAACATTTCGTAGATGTAAATATCAGTAACTGCTGATACATCTCCACATGGATCTAAGGCTAGTTAAAGAGAACAATGGTGGTGGTCTGACAGTACAACCCATTAACTTATCAGATGGATGATGCATAAGGATGTACTGTCCTCATACAGTACAGTCCATAGATAAACAAGTTTCATTTATTTCAATCTTTGATGGATTCTGTATTGAGACATTAGAGCAAAACAACATTAATTTAATTCATATGTATTAAAAACTTGTTATATTCTTGCCTCAACTTGATTTTCCTGATCCCTCATGAGGATAGCAAGAAAAGAAATACCTTAATAGAGGGAGCCATTATAGGTTTAAAGAGAAATCTGGCACTAGGGAAATGTCCAGGGATCCACAAGGATGACCCCAACTAAGAATCTAAGCAATGGTCGAGAGGCTATCTTAAATGGCCTTCCTCTGTAATGAGATTGATGAGTACCTTAAATGCCATCCTAGAGCCTTCGCCCAGTAGCTGATGGAAGCAGAAACAGAGATCCACAGCTAAACACTGAGCTGAACTCCTGGAATCCAGTTGTAGAGAGGGAGGAGTGATGAGCAAAGGGATAAAGACCAGGCTGGTGAAACCCACATAAACAGCTGACCTGAGCAAGTGGGAGCTCACAGATCCCAGACTGACAGTTGGGAACCTGCATAAGACCAAACCAGGTTCCCTGAATGTGGGTGTCTGTTGGGAGGCCAGGGCAGTCTATGGGGCCTCAGGTAGTGGAACCAGTATTTATTCCTAGTTCAGGAATGGGCTTTGGGAGCCCATTCCCTATGGAGGGATACTCTCTTAGCCTAGATACACGGGGGGGGGGGTATGTTCTGCCCCAAATGATGTGACACACTTTGATGATCCCCCATGGGAGTCCTCATCCTCCCTAGGGAGTGGATGGGGGGGGTGGGATGGAGGGTCGGTGGGGGATATGGGAGGGAGAGGGAGCTGGGATTGATATATAAAATAAGATTGTTTTTAATTTAAATAAAAATGTTTTGAAAAACTTATATGTTAGCCTCTGTAAGCACTAAAATAATTATGAGATGATCTAGGACATAGAAGTTTATGACCTGGTGAAAAAGGTCATATCAAGAGTAAGGCTGGAGCCATTTCAGTGTAGAAGGGGAAGTTGGCACAGATGAGTGCATTAGGAATATTAAGGTGTGTGGTGGGGAAGTACAACGGAGGGCAGGTGGGTCCTGTTTCCCTGGAGCTTGGCAGTGAGGGTGACAGAGTGAAGGTCTTGGCCACAGAGACAAACAGAGTGCAGAAAGGCTTCAAGGCTTCTATTTGCTCTTAATTTTAAGGTGATTTAATGATGGATCTGGGCACCAGGAAGATACCAATGGAGAGAAGTGGTGGAGGGGATGGGGAGAGGGTTAGGAAGAACGAGACAGTGACTATCCACCAGAAGCTGACTGGGTATAGTGGGGGGAAAACCAAACAAATGAAGATAATGTCTTAAATTTGTGTCCTTTTCTTAGACCAGGACGTCTCAAGATGGACAAGTTTTCTTTTCTGACCACTGTTTTCAGACTGCAGTTTTGAAATGAAGTATGAATAAATCTAAACCTTTTAAATAAAAATCCCATGCCCCTTCAGTTTATGTTAATTAAACATCAGTTCTAATTAGTAAACACAAAGTAAAGTGACATAATTTGAAGGTGACAAATGACATGAGGACTGATAGTATGGCTCCTTTAGGTTTAATAAAATAATTAAATAGTCTTAATATGAAAGTATGCCAAATGAAATTCAAGTAAGTCCCTGCTCTCTCTAAAGAGAAATATTGTTGGAGCTGAACCATAAATTACATATTGCACCTGACAAAATTACTGCTTCTTGCCATTTGCATCAAACCCATTATCTTGAATTCTGTTGCCTGGATACTAGGATTTGAAGTTTAATGCACTGTAGATGAATATTGAAATTTCAAATAGAATTCCAGCAACACAGTCTAAGAAAATAAATACTTGTAGACACAAAGGAAATAGCTTTGCTTGCAGTGGCTCAAAGTGGTTAAGTTTTAAAGAAAACTGCACTGGTTTTGAGTGAAGGATTTAGAACATCGCCTGTCTAGTGACACTAAATTCACACTTTTTGTTTGTTTTCATTTTTACTATGGACATGGAGAAAAGTAAATATTTTCCATGTCTTTGAGTGTTATGTCATGACATGTATGGTCCGGGGACTGTTTATCCTATGCAGCTATGCACTAACACATAAACACTCACACATGCATCTTTAGAGTCCACACTTGCACTTCAGCTTACCTGCTCCCATGCAAACACGTGCTGATTAAAATAATACTGGATCTGTTCATTTGCAATGTTAATGCACAGCTGCTCAAAGGAATTCTTTTTGAAATTTTCAAAGCCGAAAATATCAAGAATGCCGATGCTTAGCTCCTCATCCCCACTGGAAGAATTAAAGATGTTCGTTGAGTTAGTGCTCATTTCCTTGGGAGGAAATGCAAGGCAGAGCATTTTGGAATTCCCATAGGTGATTGAGTTAATTAAACAAGTCTCTCGGCAGAAAACAAAGATAATGGTAATGAAATTAATTTTAATATGTGCATATAACAGTATTTTTCTTACTAAAGAACCCACTCCCATGTTCTTATACACCTAAACAGAAGTCCATCCATGGGGTGTAAGCACTGTCACAGCCCTATGTGAGTCAAACATCATACAACAACCTGACTTATATGCAGAGTATTGCAAACATACAGATAACCAAAACTTTACCAGTGAATCAAACATTCTTTTAAAATTTAAAATGTCTTACCACAAATGCCCTAGTTATTTTCAAAGAACAGTTATTTATTTTTACTTATTTGCTTGTTCACATGTAAATACAGATCAAATGACAACCTAGAGAAAGATACAAATATGTAGGGATTCATCTTTATAGTTAAATACTTTAAGCCACTTGTGGTGGCACACACCTGTATCTTCAGCACTTAGGAAGCTGAGACAGAATACTTGACAGGTCAAGTCTGGGATGCATAATGATATCCTGTTTCAAAAAACAAATGAAAACCAACCCAAAGGAGGAAAAACAAATGATTTTCGAAATACAATTAAATATTATTTTATACACAAATTATCTCAGATGCACATTTCTTTTTGCTGTTACATGTTGCTAGTTCTGCTCACTAAAAATCAGACACTTGGTTAAAATTTTTGCTTTTCTCAGTAAATAGATACACTGAAGTAATTTTTATGTGTGCTTTAAGATGACCCTACAAAGGCTTCCCTTTGGGTCTACGGTTAGTGTAGGGGATGCTTGATGTTATGTGTAAAGATATGGGACTGGCAGCCAGAAACTGTGTGTGCTCCCACATTTGCAGAAAGTGACTGACTCAGAGCTCAGAGTGGAAACTTGTGATTTCTAAAACTTTAGCCCCATTGGATTATAGATGTCATGAATCTATAATCCCAACACTCAGGAGCTGTGGTAGAAGAATCTTGAATTCTAGGCCAGCCTGGTGTATATGGTAAGACTGATTCAAACAAGGAATCTTAGTGGCTGTCTTGAAGAACTAAACTAAACTATCACAGCAGGTCTTGGTTCAGTTTTTTTTTAAAAAAACTAACCACAATTAAAATAACTCCAAGTCTTGGCTAGTTATGGTTCATGTAAGAACAATTATTATTTAGCAAAAATGATACACAGGGATTTTTAGCAGTCACCTTTCTGGGTACCATCTAGTACTAAACATGCAGACAAGAGCTAATAAAGGGAGGCTAATGGCTCTAATTATCTTGTTTACATTATGTGTAATATACAAATGTAGAAACTTTCCTGAATGCTTCCAGTGTTTATAAGGTGCTGAATATCATAGAGATGACCACTAATGAGTAAAAGTCATTTGGATATTTATTCATTCTGGGAAAACTGCATTATGATCTGAGAGTCAGCTCAGTAGGCATTGAAGAAATTCAGGGATGATTGAGATTGTGACAACCAGGGAGTTAAGACCATGGGGCAACAATGGGTAATCTAGACAACCTAGCTGTATAATATGAAATAGGATGGGTTTTAGTGGGAAATAATGAAGAACTGTGTATGTGAAGCATGTATAAGATTATCTTTTGCAGTTAGTAAGTCACAAATAAAGATAAGGTCATCTTAACATAGATGGCCATCTTGCTTTTTCACATGTAACATTTCTAAAATTCCTATGACCCAAGGCAGAAAAAAATCTTCAGGTAGAATGTGAAGACTTTCACCTCTGCAAATCTAGTCAAAGGTGGCTGAGATGCCCTTTCTTTCTTATATGGGGTTCCAGGAGAACCACAGACACAAGGTGTCGGTGCCTATATTTAGGCTCCATTGACTATTATCTGTCATGTTCTTGTGCCTCTCAGCATCAGACTTCATTGGAAGTCACAGCACTTATTCCTGCAAGGCTGCAGAGAGAGCTCAATGAAAAGAAAGTTTTGCCTCGTATTCATGGTTTAATTAAAGCCCATGAAACAAAACAAAAAAAAACTGTTGGACTGAGATTTTATCCAAGTGTAAAGTGGTACACACTTCATGGTATACAGTCTAATTAAGAGAACATTTGAATTGGTAATATGATGCCAGGCTTAAAATCACTTTCTACCATGAATATTAACATTGCTACAGTTTTGTTAGAGCAATCAAGATATTTCATAGTTACATGGAATGAGAATGTGATGGAACTACTAGGAGACGAAGCATATCCACAGGAATGCAACTTTGATAACTAAATTAAACCAATCAGAAAGTTATTCAAAGGGACCTACACAAATCCAAAACAGACACACTACCTAAAATTTGCGGAAAATAGTTGTATAAAACATTTACCTTGGTGATGTGTCATGTTTAAGCAAGCTGTTAATACAATTGACTATCCAGCTAAAGAGGCGTCCATATAAAGTTTTAGACATGGCATCTCGGACATCAGTAGCTTTTTCTACTGTGTTAGGTCGGATAATTGTTTCTCCTCTAGTGACCACACAGTGGGAGGTAAGAGCTTCCTGTAGCTCATCTGCCTGAATGCAAAGCAAAGATGCTGCTGCAAAACCAATAGATTATTGTTAGAAAACAATGAAAACGACTCTATTTTCAGAAAACAGAAATGTCTAAATTCAACTGCAGCGCCTGACGTTACATAAATATGTGGTTGCCTCATGGTATCTGAATAAGCTACCATTCAGCATTAGTCTCCCTGTCTCTTCTTGATTACTCTCTTCTTGCCTCCACTAGCCAAACTTCGGCTGCTCCGTGGTACAACCTGGCACCAACCAAACTGTCTGAAAGAAGGAAGCAGCTGCATAGATGTGCAGCTACTTATGTGAAGTCAACACTAATTTCACCACATTGTGGTAAACATTTGGAGAGCACAGTGAATAGGTTTGGTAGAATTTTGATATGATTATTATGTAATTATTCCTGGAATGCAAGAATGAATTAGAAAGCTACTTAGGTTTTGGAGGGGTTCTCAAGTAAGTGGATTTGAATGACATTTGACAGCTCACATCTTACAGGGAGGGAACTTGCCATTCTTGTACTTCTTGTTAAGCTTTCTTTTTTGCTTCATATCCCAAGTGTTAAATTTTCTTAAAACATGATACTCAAGCAAACATGTGTTTCGTGATATCCAAATAGCTTAGGGATTTACAATTAATGATGCTGGAACTCAGGAAGGGGAATTCATTTTTTAATGTGCATCTTTTTTCTTTGTGTAGGGCTGGGTGATCCCAGGGCTTTGTGCGTGTTGAGCCCGTGCTCTACCTCCTTCTCACACTCACCACAGGAATCTTTAGTTAAGCCCACTGCACGAACAGAGGCTACATCTTCAGACCAGGTACTGTGTTTAAATTTCTCCCTACATTTGGAATTTGTTCTTTGACATCTTAGTTTTTGGTTTGTGAGCAAGATCAGTGACCTCTGTCTTTATCCATTTCTTCACACTGAAAAGCAAGAAGCCATATATGGTCCTCACAGAAATTCTGCCTTCTAAGTTAACAGGATTCATCTCTTTCCCTATCAGTATGGTTATTGCCAGTGAAAGACCAAGAAGATCAGTGTAATTTCATAGATGCCAGGCATTTTACATTTTAAAGTAGCCAGTTTGATAGGAAGGAATTCTTCTATTTAATTATTACTTATAAAGATGAACACCTTTTTTTTATGACTAGCATTACTCATTTTCTGGACTGCCCTCTTGCCTCCACATTCACCCTTTCCTAGGCAACCTCAGAGTACTCTTAAGCTTAGAGAGCGATATTTTGCTGCATATGTTGCAAATATTTTCTGTCATTCCCATTTGCCCAAAGTGTTCATTTATGTTTCCTTGTTATGAAAGAGTTTTAATTTTTACTGCTAAAAGCTACTTTAAAAAAAAGATAATTTTCTTTTGGTCTTCTTCTCATCTCATATAGTGTTTCATTGTCATTTTCATTAACTTTCTTGCACTGATATTTGTAGTATTTAGAGTTCTTTAGAGGGTCCAGCTCTGAAGGTGTTTGATGTCAAGCCTGATGACCTGTGTTTGACCCTGGGAACTACATGGTGGAAGGAGAGAGTCAAGCTTCAGTAGCTGTCACAACATTTGGTGAGATGCTTGGAGCAGAGAAAACTGGACCTGAGACCGTGGGAGCCTGCTCAAGCCAGTTCGAGATCTCCTAAGTCGGTGTTCCTAACCCTTGATGTCATCAAATCTACAGCCCGAGAAAGAAATAAAACAGTCAGTTCGAGATTTCCAGTTTCTCATCAGGCTTGCTACATCAACCTCCTGGACCCGTGAGTTTTCATCCCAAAGCCAACAAAACTGGAAGATTAGCAGCTAGCCTTTGATACATCTTAAAACAACAGAATTCATTTTGCCAGCTTTTCCCTTTGGGGGAAAAAGGACCCATTTAAAACATTTGGACATTGGTATGGACTGTGATGAATGGCAAAAGCCTCTTTTCAGTATTTGAACAGGACATGGTCACTTGAAATATCAGACTTGGTAGTTCCTGTTTCTGGAATTACACCTATGCCAGTGTGTTTTTCTGGAGAAATGTGGTTTGTCCTGGTGCGACAAAAAGACTTTGACTCGGGTTACATGTTCGGCTGATACTACTGACATTAAATCGACAGACTACATCACCACAGGAACAAATTGGTACTCTGTAAATAGTGCAACAAGCCTCTTGTTCATATTTTTTATAATGCTACATGTGTAACATCAATGATTGTACCTAATGTATCTGTGCAAGTGCACTATCTAATGCTTTCCTAAGTAGATCTTAAAATGATTGTAAACTTTATCACTGTTTTAACGGTCAAATTGTAACTATAAATCACCCTTGTAGCAAAGAAAGGCTGGTGGTAGAATGCTAAGGCCCAGATCGGGGGGGGGATGGGCAGGTGACAGAGAGGCGCTATGTCAGTGGGGGTCCTAGGAATGGTAACAGTGACAATAGGCATTCTGGCTTCATGCTGAGTTCAAAGTGCCTTAGCCCATGGCAATCCCGATAGCCATAAAGCCTTATTACAGATGATTCTAAGGTTGGGGTGACTCCAAAGACGGGCAACCTGTGGGGAAGACCCTCTCCCACCTAAGACAGGGGTTCAAGGTCCCTGTCGGGCCAGGGAGGGTGACCCTACTTGACCTAAGCCAGGAGTGCCTCATTTAAAAATAAAAAGGGGTGAATTGTGGGGACACCAGACCTTGAGCAGAAACCCACTTCCCCTTCGGCCTGGGAGCAGGCAGCTGTGTAATGTTTACTGAAAACAATTCAGTGCTAAAGCTCTTGATAGGGCTCAGATAAGGGCTTACTCACTAAAATACCATGCCTTTCACACCCCCTATGGCTAGATGCCTCTTCCTGTTTCCCTGCAGTGTCTCCCAGATTCTGGGGCTGGAGATTAAACCACCAGCCAGGAGGGTGAGAAGTCTAAAAAGAATGGTATGTAGATGAATGGCAAAAGTCCTTAAAAAAGGGAAGCTCCTTTTTCTTAGAGAGACTTCTCCTGAGAGCTCTCTCCTAAGTGGACTGGGGTCTCCTCCTAAGCTGACTTGGGAAGCATAAAGTTTTCTTAAAACAACCGACCGGTCTCTGTGTCATCTATCCCGACCACCTCGCTACATTCTCGGATGCAGGCCGCACAGCAGGTGCGACACTTTATGCGTGCCATATAATGCATAAGTAAGTAAATGCAATAAAAATTTAAGAATCCATCTTTAGTATATGATGTTTGGAGAGGATTCAAGTCTCCTAGCTGTCTCACAGTGCATGGCAATCATTATGTCAACCTCAGACAACTGCTCTAGTACAATTACAAAACTGCTTCCAAAGCCACAAATGATAGAGAAAATAGGTATCTTAGGGACAGGTCTGAACCAATTAAATAATTAAAAATGATGGAGATGAATACATAAAAGGTAGTATTATCATTCTTTAGGCTGTGAATAAAATTTACAACAAATAAGAGATTACGGGGGTGTATGCTAATATTAAAAAATAAAAAACAGGATATATTCTAAATAGATGAAAGCTGAATAACTGGAAAAAATCAGTGGGATGCCTTAAATTATTAGGGACATTTTGTCAAGCTTTGTTATTAAGAGAAAACTTGATCTGGAGCAAGAATGATGTGTGTCTCTTGTATGGAAAACGGAAAATTAATTAAGCCATGGTAAATGAGTTAATGGAATTAAAGCAGTAAAAAACCACACAATGAATACAGGTTCTAAACACTAAAAGGCAATTTTAATTCTTTTTTGTACAGGTCAATTGCATATTACCAATATTTTCTGCATTTTCATATTAAAACCCAATTTCTGACATAGTCATAAAAGCTTGGCCTCTGGAAATGTAGCTCATAATAATCAGTTTGCATGTGTAAAGATGCATTTTTCTTAGATGATTTATTTTTTATTTTTAATTATTTTAGTCCTTCAAGACAGGGTTTCTCTGTGTAGTCCTGTACACCAGGTTGTCCTTGAACACAGAGACAAACCTGTCTCTGCTTCCCAAGTGCTGGGACCAAAGGCATGAGTGAGCCAACATTCCTGGCTTGATAGCTGGGTTTACAACTTACTTTTTTACAACCGAGTCTAAGCATTCTTTGTGGGATCTACACGAGTACAAGTGTTTGAAATGTGACCCAGCATAAGATATGAAAGAGTGCAGTTTTTAGTGGAAGACAATACAACTCACAGTTCTCCAGAGCTGCATGATTGCAGATGTAGCTCTTGTCCATCTGGTACTCAGTTGCCACAGAGGAGAATTCAATGTTTCCAACATTCAAGATTGCAGCGAGCACACTATACACACTTCCAAGTTGCTAAAATATATCATAGAAATAGTAGCATCAAATCTGGTACAGCAATTTGAGGACAATGACTGGAACAGATGGAGGAAAAGCCTTGGGTTCCAGCACAAGAAGGTCACTCAGCATACTGTGATGGAAGACTAAGACCCAAGCAGGCAAGGATTCATGTAGGCTCAACCTCATTCATTACATTGACTTTGGAGATCCACATACGGCTGTTTCCTCATGAGCACTTAAAATATTTTATGAATGTTAATATAAGTAAAAATAGAAAGGAGGAGCACTCCTCAGAGGAAGCAGAGATATTCATTAGGTTATAGATAATCTATCTATGTGAACTTTAAAATGTAGTGTTTTTTATCACATGTACATTTTCTGGAGGTCATCTTAGAAGTAGTGTTATGTGTGTGGATAGAGGAAGAGTCTAGATAGAAGAATCAAAAGACAGATCACAGCATCCAAATAGAAAAATACATGATGGTTAAGACTAGACATAAGAATTACAGACTACAGCCCAGAGTTTATAGTATTTATTACTATTTAGCACAGATTCTTAATGTTCAGAAACATACAAGCACACATGCACACATGCAAGCTTGCATGTGATTCTGAAGGCACTGGAGCGATTTGTCAAGGAGTCTTTGCAAGTCATGCTATTATTCCAACAACCTTCATGTTGCAAGAGGCTTAGAAGACAGCAAACCATGACCCCCACTTAGCATGCCCTGCAGCTATATTGATGGCTCTTAAATAAGCCTAGCCTCTTTAAATGCCCTTCCCCAATAATGTGATTGACAACTTCCTTGTATGCCATCCTAGAGCCTTCATCCAGTGGCTGATAGAAACAGAGGCAGACAACCACAGCTAAACACTGAAATGAACTCCTGGAAACCAGTTGCAGAGAGGGAAGTGTGATGAGCAAAGGGGTCAAGACCTGGCAGGTGAAACCCACAGAAACAGCTGAGCAGAACAAGGGGGAGCTCATGGACCCCAGACTGATGGCTGAGAAGCCAGCATGGGGCTGATCCAGACCCCATAAATGTGGGTGTCAATGCAGAGGCCTTGGCAATCTTTGGGGCCTTGGGTACTAGACCAGTACTTATCCCTGGCATATGAATGAACTTTGGGAGCCCATTCCACATGGAGGGATGCTGTCTCAGCCTGGACACATGGGGGAGGGCCTCGGCCCTGCCTGGGATGATCTTACAGACTTTGAAGATCCCCCATGAAGGGCCTCACCCTCCCTTGAGAGTCCAGTGGGGATTCAGTAGGGAGGTTGAGGGGTTAGTGGGGGGAAGGGGAGGGAGAGAGAGCTGGGATTGACATGTGAAGCAAGCTTGTTTCTAATTTAAATAAAACAATTCATAATAAAATCCTAGCCTCAGGTCCAGGTATGGTTGAGACTGAGGGAGAAGTTGAGTTCTTCACAGCATAAAAACTTATCTATCCATCATCTTTAAGAAATGGTGCTGGCATAACTGGATGCTGGCATGTAGAAGAATGCAGATTGATCCATGTCTATTGCCATGTACAAAACTTAAGTCCAAATGGATCAAAGACCTCAACATAAATCCAGCCACACTGAACCTCTTAGAAGAGAAAGTGCGTGGTACCCCTGAACGAGTTGGTACAGGAGATAGCTTCCTGAACATAACACCAGTAGCACAGACAGTGAGATCAACAATTAATAAATGGGACCTCCTGAAACTGAGAAGCTTCTGTAAGGCAAAGGACACAGTCAGCAAGACAAAAAGGCAGCCCACAGAATGGGAAAACATATTCACTAACCTCACATCTGACAGAGGGCCGATCTCCAAAATTTACAAAAAACTCAAGAAGCAAGTCTCCAAAACACCAAATGATCCAATTAAAAAGTGGGCTACAGAACTAAATAGAGAATTCTCAATAGAGGAATCTAAAATGGCTGAGAGGCACTTGAGAAAGTGCTCAACATCCTTAGCCATCTGGGAAATGCAAATCAAAACAACTCTGAGATACCATCTCACTCCTGTCAGATTGGCTAAAATCAAAAACACCAATGACAATTTATGCTGGAGAGGATGTGGTAAAAGGGGAACACTCCTCCATTGCTGGTGGGAGTGCCAACTGGTTCAGCCACTTTGGAAATCAGTATGGAGACTCCTCAGAAAAATGGGAATAAACCTACCACAAGACCCAGCAACTCCACTCTTAGGCATATATCCAAAAGATGCCCATTCATACAAGGATGTCTGTTCCACTATGTTAATAGCAGCATTATTTGTAATAGCCAGAACCTGGGAAAAACCTAGATACCCCTCAACTGAAGAGTGGATAGAGAAAATGTGGTACATTTACACAATGGAGTACTGTTCAGCAGAAAAAAAAACAATGGAATCCTGAAATTTGCAGGCAAATGGATGGCACTAGAAGAAACCATCCTGAGCGAGGTAACCCAGTCACAAAAAGAGAAACATGGCATGTACTCTCTCATATATGGATTTTAGACATAGATCTGGGGAGTGCCAGCCTACAATCCCATGGCCAGAGAGTCTGGGAAACAGAACTTTCATTCAGTGGCTGATGGAAGCAGAGACCGACTCCCACGGCACTGAGCTGAATTCAAGAAATCCAGTGACAGAGAGGGAGGACTGATGACCAAAGGGGTTGAGACTGGGCTGGTTTAACCCCCAGAAACAGCTGACCTGACAAGGCTTAGTTCTTGAATCCCAGACTGATGCCTGGGAATTCAACATGGGACTTATCAAGACCCCCTGAATGTGGGTGTCAGTGAGGAGGCCTAGGTAATCTATTGAGCCTTGGGTAGTAGATCAGAATTTATCCCGGGTATACAAATGGATTTTGGACTCCCATCCAACAATGAGAGATGAACTCTCACCCTGAACCCTTGGGGGAGGGTCTAGGCCCTGCCCTGGATGAAATGACAGACTATGGACACCCCCATGGAGGGCCTCACCCTCCCTGGGTAAATGAAGGGATATTGGGGGGATTGGTGGGAGGGCATAGGAGGAGGGGAAGGAAAGGGAGAACAACTTGGAATTGACATGTGAAACAACCTTCTTTCTAATTTAAATTTAAAAATAAAAAATAATAAGAAAAGAATTTATCTGGAAACAACATTGGATGGTTGCCTTGGTATTACTAAGGGGCACTTATGATGCTGAATTCAGTCAACTGTCAAATCGGCCTTCTCTGTGCATTTACTCATACACTGTATGAATGCACCTATCTATGAGTGTATATGAATATGCAAATATATTTATATTTGACTGACATGAGAAAAAAAGAATATGGGTACTAAGATCTTCCACAATTATTCTATCATGCCACATTGTTTCTTTTATGTTTACTGATATTTGCTTTATGAAATTGGGTACATCAATGTTTGATGTATATGTGTTTATAATTGCATGTCTCCTTGATGGATAATTATTTCCATTAATATGCAGTAACATTCCTTATCCAGATTTATTTTGATTTAATGTCTACTTTGTCAAATAGGAGAACATCTACTCCTTGTTTTCAGCTTCAGCTTGCTTGGTATATCATTGCCCATTCTTTATATTTGGTATGTATGGTTTTAGCCCAATAAAGTGTGTTTCTTACAGAAAAACAAACTTATCTATCCACCCAACTATCCATCTGCAGGGCTGACAATCACCGAAGAGCCTAGAGTAATTTGTGTTTGGTGGTAAGTGAAACATCTCTTCTCATATACAGAGTCAACAAAGCTTTCACAGATCTAAAAACTTTCTGTGGGCTTTGAGGGAAGTGGGATTTGAATCCTGACTCCTGGCTCACAGAATGCTTGATCTTTTTCTACTGAGGAAGGAGAGAAGCATGGAGGAATGTACAGCTTCAATAGGTCCATGTACCTAGGTCAACCACAGCACTAGTTTCTCTACCTGAGAGATGTTGGGAGACATATACAACAACATGTAATTCCAGAATCACAGTTATTTCTGAGCCTGAAAACAATACCAAAATAAGAATAAACTCATCAGGCTTGAATTCTGACCCTTCAGAAAAAAAGTTGCTTTTGTTTGTTTGTTTGTTTGTTTGTTTTTAACAAGAAAATGAGATAATAGGAGACTATATGAATTCTAAAGGGATTTTGTGACCTTTAAAGTGTGCCAGTGGTTCATGACTCTTGATATATTTTGTCCAATTTAATTTCAACACCTTTTTTCTGATTTAAGTGTTATTAATACTGTGAACATAAACCATTGCTTGGGACTGGCAAGATGGATTAGTGGGTAAAGGTGTTTGCTGCCAAGCCTGACAGCTAAAGATCAGTCTCTGGACCCACATCATAGAAGGAAAGAACCAAAGTCTGCAAGTTGTTGTTGTCCTCTGATGTCTACATATATGCTGTGGTGTGCGTGCACTCATACATGCACACACACACACACACACACACACACACACATACACACACACTGTAAGTGTGACAGCAAACTCAATAAACCCTGAAGTGCAGAAAGCAGTTCAAGATTTTTATCATAAAGCTTATGGGACAGTTAGAGGTTTATTTGTATGGATGTCAAATCTTGCTTACCCAAATCAAAGAAGCTACATTGGAAAGATTGAAAAGTTAGTAGGAATAACGTCTGAAAGATACTCAAGTTGTTTTCTTCCAAAAGCAAATTAACTCTTCAAAATAGCAAAGTTGTCTAGTTGGAGAAGGCATGATAGTCATTGCTCTGACTTTGTTCTGGGGATGGAAACCAAAGCCCTCGGGAATGATGGCCCTGATGCTTTTGGTGACATTATTTTCTTAGAGCCCGAATCTACACCGGAAGCCTCACTGAAGATTATGCAAGGGAGGAGAAGGAAAGAGGGCAGTGCCTGGACTGAAAAGCAGGTTGGTGCATGGTAGGTCAAAACAAAGTGATTCCCTCCCTGCTATGGAATGTGTCACCACACAGTCTGGTTGTGGAAGAACAAAGGTGCTGATGCTCCAATTGACAAAGGAAAGAGGAGTCAGGCTGAGGACCAGATGATGTGGGAGA